CTCGGAGGGGCATCGAGAGATTTTCGTGAGATACTTCCGTAAGGAGTCAGAATGAAAACGAAGACAAAGCGAGACAAGATGGACCTAAATCTATCGCTTATATTGCCGAGGCGAAAGTTATCGAATTTCGCACGGCACGCCGGGAGAGGTCAAGAACAGCTTTAATCGTCGCGTTAATGACGCGACACGCGGTGCGAATAGACTTTTAAATCCGCCAGGGTGAAAATCGAACTCCGCCTTGTAATTAAGCGGCTCGCCGCGGTGCTCGTTTCGAGACTTGGAGCGATTCCACGTGTGCGTTGTACCTTCCTCTCTCTCTCTTTTTCTCCTTCAATTTCCCTCCCTTTCTTACTCACCACGGTGGTTGCGCAGCGTGAGCGGGATGATTCGCACCCTGACCTGAACGTTAATTAACGAATTATCATTCGACAGCGGCGAGCGGCGGCGGCGGCGGCGGCGGCGGCTGAGCGACTTTATTTGGTCGCGCCAGGTGTTACGATCGGCACGCCGGCGTTGATTTAGCAATTTCTAGGCGCCACAAATCGCCAAGTAATCGCTCGTCGCCCCCGGCAATTTCCATTATCGGCACACCGAGAGGCTGAGAGTCTCACGAAGGCCGTCGTCACGGCGGATAAAGTGGAAAGAGACACGCAGCCTCCGTGTCTATGCGTTATGTTGTCGTCGTCTCTCATTTTCCTGAAAAAATTCCACGTGGCCCGAATGAAAGCGCGGAAAGTCTTTGAATTATGCTTCTTGCGTCTGATATCGAAGAAACCCTAAAAAAATCCTAAAAAAGATTTCTGTGCCAAGGTAAAGGTCTTTAATAATTTCCTCTAAAATTTCTCAGTTCACATTTTATTGTTTATAACAATATTTAAAATTCCACGTGGCCCGAATGAAAGCGCGGAAAGTCTGAATTATACTTCTTGCGCCTGATATCGAAGAAATCCTAAAAAAATCCTAAAAAAAGATTTCTGTGCCAAGGTAAAGGTCTTTAATAATTTCCTCTTAAATTTCTCAGTTCACATTTTATTGTTTATAACAATATTTAAAGTTTGCATTTCAAACGTGCGTTCCGCGACGTTGTCGTTTTGCTTTCGTTTGCAAAATTTCGACAATTTCGACGAAACGCGAATGAACCGAGGTTCACGAGGTAATTTCGTTTCCGTGACGGAAGAGCAAAGTTTCCTACACGCGATTAATTTCTGAATTTCTCGAATATGCAGGCGCGCGTGGGCGCCTCAAGGTGAAGCCGCGCGGTTTTGAGCGTGATTATATCACGTTTCATTCAATTGCAAAACGCGCGATTATAGCGAGCGCACTGTTATTATCTATTAAAATGGCAGTATCTCGCTGCATCGGCTGATTACGTAGTCCCTCGGTGACACAATCGCGTTAATGTACCGCGATTTCTCCGTTCATCTCCTACCGATATTATTCCGGCAGATAAGCCGCGAATTGAAACGAAACGCCGGAAAGGAAAGTGCTTCTTGGGATTTAAAAGCCGAATTATATTGATTTTTAATAAGAACATGATGACCTATTCTCACCTTTGTGACAACTTCAAGTTACATTCGAGAATCGATCGAGTTTCCGAAGCAAACCGCAATCCTCCAAAAGCCGAGACATTTTTCCAGGTCCCCGTAGAAAACTCTTTAAAGGTGAATCATCGCATGGCAGCTGTGCTGCTGCTAACGTACACCTATTTATAGGATAAAAGGCGATGTTCTCAGAAAAACTGTTCCATTCGCCATATCGGTAGGCAAACGCGAATTCCAGGGCCGCCCTCCCTCCGTCGCGTATCGCGATTTCAATCGGTTGACCGGCGAACACGCGCATCTCCCGCGGACAGGGATTTTCCACGGCATCCCTACTTTAGATCGCATCGTGATTCCATCCCTCGGTCGCTCCCTCGAGAGCAGGCATTGAATTATTTATAATAACGCCGGTAGGAACACCCGGCGGCATTATATGCGCGAAACGGATTCCCTGTTCCTTGCCCCGGAGTGCGTTGACCACGCTAGGACGTCCCGGGAAGTCTTGCTTCGCGCGTTATTTACGGCAGAATGCAAATTTAATACGTAATTTATCCTTGTCGAAAGAACGCTTTTCTTATCCTCGGTGTTAGTAGTCTGATAATTTTAAGCATAAAAGGATTAGCATAAGAGACGTATGTGTGTGTGTGTGTGTGTGTGTGTGTGTGTGTGTGTGTGTGTGTGTGTGTGTGTGTGTGTGTGTGTGTAACTAAAAGTGATAATAATAGATAAAACAAGAATTGTGTACAAAATAAAACATCAATTATGAATACAAATGTTTTTTCAAGTTTCATCTCTCGTCGTATATGTCATGTGTAACTTTAAGAGTATCCTTTCACTAGGCAACCCGTTCAGCGTTGCCGCACGTGAAGAGATCGAGCGCGCTGAGCGCGAATGCATCGAAAGGTCAGTACTGCCGAAGTACGGGAATGGATGAAAAAAATGGAATAAGAAAGTTTACATCGTGGTTTTGAATTGTATTTTGCGTTTATTTCGTACTGTATTATTAAAATTAATACAATGACAGAAGTATTTACAGGAGGTTTTTAGCAGCTACATACGCGATCGTAATCTTCGCGATTAATTCCGGTATTAATAGTATAATATAATATTAGCATAATATAATATAATATAATAATAATTTTATAGAATATAATATAATAATATAATATTAATAATATAATAGAGAATATATATATATATATATATTGGGCAGCGCGGCGCGTCCGAGTCGCACGGGGAGCAAGAGAGCCGACGCGTTCTTTCGCGGATTTTAATTAACGCAAAGAAATGATAGCGAAAGCTGATTAATTCTGACTAATGACGTATCACAAAGAAGAGAATAAATAATCGCGAATTCATCGCGTGAAGAAGCCAAGTCGACCGTCTCGAGTCGCGCCGCCCTCGCCCGTCGTAGCAAAATTATATTTTACAGGTTTATTCCGTTTCTTTGATTTTCGGAGACGCATCTTGAAACCACATTCTCAACGTACATATGCGCGCATATGCGTCTTAAGAGGAGATGCACGCGTGATCAGGTCCGCATGCGTCGCGTTCTAATGTACAATTTTCCGATGTTCGTATCGACGAACGTCCGGTAATCATTTCATGTCGATTTTACAATACCACCGCGAAAGGAGCGGAAAGGCTAAATAATCGGTCGAATAGTCACCTCGGTCCACGAGGTCGAAAGTGTTCCCTGCGCTTTCGCTTCGACTCGATTATGCGCGCAATTGATTGAAGCAGCCGTCGAAGAAAAGACCAAGCATCCTGAAATTTTCGCTTCGTGAGAAAACTTCAGAGCGCCGCTTCCGCACTCTCGAAATGAATTATGATCTGACGAAAATTTAACATTTTTAGATAGTCTAAACTGTCTAAGAAGTTCTCGAAATAGTCAATGTATGAAAAAAATGTGCGCTTTAAAGCTTTTTCGAAGAGAACCACCAGAAAAAGCGAGTGATATCGATTATGCGGAAAGAAATTCGGGAGATTTGTTGCTATAAAACGCGTTAAAACATATCATCATATATATTTACTGGGAAAATCCACGTTCTCGCATATCCCGTGGATTTGTGCAAAGAGATTTGTACATATTCACGGTTGGATGAGCCTCTCGTGCTGTTCGAGGCCGAGACTCGTCAACCAAGTCCGTCATTTTTGCAGCGCTCTCTCGTCCAACGCACTTCTTTCTTTCTCGTCTCGCTCGGCGAAGACACAGGTCGCTCGTTAGCGTCTCGCCAACGAGCGTGTGTCCGCGGCGAAATGAACGAAAATTAGAGGCGCGAAAAAAGGGGGAGCGAGCGTGAGAAAGAGGACTCTGTTTATGACTAGCATTCGTTGCGCTACGCGTACGAGCGAGCGACTCGCGCGTTTCAATTTGCGCGCGATGATGAATTCCGTGGATAAATAAGTTTGCGTATGTACAATTTCGATTTGCACGTCCACGAGAGTCCGGAGAGAGAGCAGACGAGGTCGATCATCATTTTCCTCTCTTTCTTCTTCCGTGATAAAAAGGACGGAACAATTTTGAAATAACAGAACAAAAGGATGCAAGAAGTATATTCATAAAGTATATCCGATAGCACGATTGAAAGATATTTAATAATGTAAAACAATAAGTACAACAAGAAGAAACGTATATACATGTAGTATATACGACCTATGGGGAAGTGGTCCCTTCTCCGTGACGTGCGACAAGAGCCGAGAATTTTCGGTGGTTCATGCGATGAGTTCATTGACATTCAAAGGGCTCGACCCCGCATTGTTAATCTCCTCCGTGTTCGAACTAACTAGAATTAAAGACGCCTAGAAGACTCGTCTGGGCTTTCAATTTCGATCTCCCACGAAGCCGCATGCAATTAAGGCACTCTTCACACTTCGAACGTATGTTCTCTCCCTGTATCATAGTCCTATGAAAAGCCTTGCTGTGCACACCGGACAAATAAACGTAGGCACTGGCGACGATACGCGATATTAGCGCACACGCGCATTGTGATTTTCCTTTAAGGAAGGCACCGAAATATATTTATCTGGTTTGTCGTCAGTCATTGTTAAACCTGACGACCAATTGATATGGCGATTTTTGGCGGAAAAACCACGCGCGACGCACCGAGATACGACATTTCTGGCGATTGTCATTGTATTATTTTTTTCTCGTCAGTTTATTCGAGAATTTCGAGAAGCAAATAAATATAATATAGTAATGATAGTGATAATAGTAATAATAGTAAAATTTAACTTTTGTCTAATTAATATATACATAATATGGTTATTTCTAAAAAAGCTTCATAAGTCTCTCAGATTTACATCATTTTGAATAACTGTAAAGTACCTCGGTGCATGCGTCCGCGATACAGCTCGAGTATTTCTCAGCTCGAAAGGACGGTCGATCAGTCTATCGATAATCAGGCAGTCTAAGGAGAGCTGCCTTCGCTCGGTTTCGCATCTTCCTTTTCCTATTTATCCTTTACGCCTCGTCAGGCAGTGACGGCAAAATCCGTCGGGACTGTCGAAGAGTCTGTCAATCGACAATTCCGCGTACATCCCCCGTGTGTGCATTTCTGACGGATGTAATTCAGCGTCGAATGTCACGGCGATCCCGCGTGACCTTTCCCCGGATCTTCGCCATCGCCACCCCCGGCGCGAAACCACCACCCCGTGATCGGCGTCGCAACCGTAAGCATCTTCTCGTAAGCCGTGCACACCCGCGACTCGTTTTGTCGCTCGTACCTTCTCTGATTATGTACATCAAGACCATCCTCTTTGAAGCTCGCTTCCGCAAAGAATCAATGCGAATCTACACACAGACAGACAACACACACACACGCGCGCGCGCGCGCGCGCGCGCGCGCACATACGCACCCATCCGCATACGCATTCACGTGCTCTCATCCGTATTTACAACAGCCGTTTGTTCGCTTTGATATGATACAAGCTACGATCTCTCGTCGGCACCTTCGCGAAGGCACGCGTATGTAGAGAGGCGTTTGTACACACAGAACTCCGCGCGCGGACACGCTTCGCACGCGGCTACGTTGCACGATTCGCGTAGCCGTGCACACGCTCTTTACAATCGGTCTCGGGTTCCCGAGATGTCCGGCGAAGGTCGGGACAGGGGCTTCGAGAGGCTGTTCGAGGATTCTGGAGATCAGGCTTGGTACATGCTTTTTGTTTCTGGCTACGAAATATATTGCTTAATATTACATATATCGCGATCGAGTTACAGGATGCCGCTTCGTAAAATTTTCTGATCGAGTTAACGCCTTTACTTTTACCGTAAGTCAAACATCACCGAGTTTCAGCAGAGAGGTAAAGCAAAGGCGCGCCGTATGTTCCCCATGTTATCATTTCACGTTTCGTTAAGGCTATCCACAACGTTATGCGCTTCGCGAAAAACAAATTCATAAGGAATTTCCATTTTTTTTTACGTACAACTGTCGCATGGCAGTGGTATCGCATTCGGCTTTACCGTAACAAGCGGGGAAAGAGATGAGATTCCGAATATATATTTTTCACAAAGCTCATAATCCTATAGAAAAATATACGCGCGATCCTGCACCTTTCTAAAAAACACGAGAAAACCCTTTCTGTCGTCACAGCCTTCGCAAACCTCGAGGAACTTCGCCCGTCTCGTCCCACTCTGTTCTTCGTTCGCACGATGCTCGGGCACACCTCGTTGCTCAAAAAACCTCCCTCCTACTCTTCCGCGTCACTGTACACGTGATATTTACGCGATATGTACAATCGCCTCGAAATCCCGATCTCTCTCGGCAGCTTCTCGAGGAGACCGTCGGAGATGCCCATCCACCTACGCGCGAAATACAATTCACCTGCCGACACCTGCCGCACCCGGCACACAGCTGGACGGCATGGTCTTACGAGGTTTCATGCACCAATCGCCGAATTCGCGCCTGCACCGACTCACATTGTACCTCGCTGTATCTGGTGTACCTTCCGGCGCGCACCGGTTCCCTGATGACCACCAGATTACCGCCCCGCTCGCGAAGCGCCTCGAGGCCGGTCTTGTTGCAGCCACCGATGCTGACGCCGCTGCGCAACGTCGTTGCTATCGCCGACGACGGTGGCGTCGTCGCTGGGATCTTTGCGATCTTCGCGCCGGACGTGGTCTCCGACGTGAAGCGGCTGAGCGCCTTACTGACGACGCCGCTGCACTCGCGCGGCCACACCCTGGCCGCGCGATGATGATGCCTCTGTTCCCATCTGTCGGC